ACTTTTGGTTAGCAGTAATCTATGCCCAGAGGGTTATTTTATGGGCAGAGGGCTAAGCCTTATGCCTCGATAACTCCAGACAGTCTTAAACATGTGTCCTGCTAGGTTATGGGGCGTTGCCCAAGCTTGTGGTGTTCAAACATCTTCAGCTTTTCTCTGAACCTTGGTAAGCACCGAGATGTGTTTAGCCAAGTCTTCGGCGGGCAGGTGGTGGGGAGGTGAGCAGGTCTGCTCTGCAGGGCTGGGGTGAGAAGGACCAGCTGGGGTTGGTGCGGAGGGTGCTGTCGCCCATGTAGACAGGGCGAAGGGCGGGCTCTGGGAGGGATGCCAAGGGAGGTAGCTGGGCACGCTGTGGTCCAGCTGACTTCAAGAGGCAACACAGGATGAGTTTCTAGAAAATCAGGCTGCCCCCATGACTGCTCCAGAGCTTTTCTGATTATTTTTTTATTTCTCTCATCTTTTCTCCTTAAGGTTTTTTCATTCCTGGGTTCCCGAAGCTGCAGAGATTTCAAGCTCACCACGAGCAGATATTAAGCAAGCTGTTTCCCAAACTGAAGAAGCACATGGTATCTCTTTGCTATCAGTCTCCCCATACTAATACCGCATTTTAATGCTAAAGCAATTAGTGCTGCAAAATAGATGCACAACTGAACGTACCTCTAACCGTGTAGGACCGCTTCAGCTGCAAAGGGCCAAGCGTTTGTTACATGGGGTGCCTGAATCTTGCTGAGGCAAATGTTTATCATTTGCTTGCTGGTCCTCACTAGTGTAGGGACTGCTAAAATGGAAAGGCTTCCTTAGGAAAGCCAGGTGGGAAGGCTCCCGGAGCCTGCAGCAAAAGGAGCTGTTGCATACAGCAGCGAGGCTGGGCTGTGTTCTTACACCAGCTTCAAAGCCCGAAGGGCGATGCTGGACTGTCTGGATTCTTAGTTCAATAACTTATTAGCCTCAAGTGCTTGCATTTAGCATCTTTGCTGTTGTTTAAAGACAGGAGGTGTGTAAGATTTGCTGTGTGTTTTGTTGCCTGGGCACGTCCAGTTGTTTTTCTCTGTAGCAGATGGTACAAGCCCATTTGGTGGCTGGAGGAGCATCTGCAGGACACGTTGACTGCAGTCTAATGTCTAGGCGACTCTTTTGCAACACCTGCTCCCTTTTTTTTTTTTTTTTTCCCCCTTTGTCCCCCCTTGCATTTGCTGTAGACAGTTGGTATTCAATGGCCAGACTTGTGAAGGTTTCTTGTGCTCCCAAGAGGCTCGGTGGCCCAGCTCCAGGAAAAGCTGTTTATATTGCCACCATGTGCAACAGCTCTTGCTTCGTGCTGCAAATGAGCCAGCCGTGGCCTATAAGTGACACAGAGCCAGGACAGGTTTTCACTTAATTATGACCGCGGGGGTGGGGAGGATGGGAATAACTCTCTGAAAGCTGCCTGTGCCTCCTGGCTCCCAAAGGCTCCCCAGGCTTGCAGGTACCCAGCACCAGCTGAAAGCAAAGACCGGAGCCGGACGTTAATCCCATGGGCTTCTTTCTCTTCCCATCCCCACCGCTTTGCTGGCCTTGCAGCAGCACTCACATCAGCTTTGTGCACAGGCAGGGTGCTCTGGATCCCAGCTCCGTGCACCATGCCAGAAAAAGCAAAGGTGTGTGCAAGCGCTGCGCCAGGTGCCAGACGGGGATGGAAAAGCGATAGAGTGGGGTGACGTTGGTGAGGTTTTAAGAGTTTTCCTTAGCCTGTTAGGCCTCCTGCTCCTCTAGCAGTCATGCCAGGCAAAGGAGGTAGTGCTAGCAAAGCGGGCTCAACTGTGCAGGTATGGATTTACCTTGGGATACTTGGGGTTAATCGTTTTTGTGGTGCTCTGAGAGGCTTGCTTAGAAATTGCGATGGAAACAAAAATGGTAGTCTGCAAGGAATGCCTCATCTGGGTTCCTGGAAGGTTTTTATAAGTCCCTGGAGTAGATATTGGGCCAGAAAAGCTTCTCTTAGAAGTCCCTCTCCAAAGTTGTGGTTGAAGTCTGGCCACATCAAGGATCAGGTTCAATAATATCTTGGCCAAAGCAGGGCTTCAGCATTGGTATTTAAAGCAGGGGTTTTGTTGGGAGACAAACTGCAGCCAGATCCTGCACCCAGACCCCAGCATTAATAAACCAACCAGCCAACCTCCCCAAAAGCCCCCAAAGTTGCTTGAACCTCCAGCAGCCAGCCTGGTGAAATGCCTCTCTCCTCTTTGCTGTCTTCTCCTAGGACAAGGAGCAGATGACTACGGGGATTTACACGACCAAGTGGTTCCTGCAGTGTTTCATTGACCGGGTAAGGTTGCTCTGCGGGTGGTTTGCTGCTCTGTGGCTTGCAAGCGCTGTTAATTGCCTGGTTTTTTTGAAAAAGTATCATAATTTGAAGAAGGTGTTAATATTTTATAAGGTGGGATATCATGCACACTTCCCTAAGGCAAAAAAAGTTAATAAGGGAGAAGCTGAAAATGTCACTGATGCCAGGCCAATTCCCGCTGCCTCGTCACAAGCGGTCGCTGGGAGATGGGTCAGCAGCGCACCAGCATAAGCTTCCAAGTTGGGAGAGATCTTTCTCTTGCCCCCTGGCACTGCCGCAGAGGCAATTAACCTCATTTTGGCTTGGGAAACAACCCAGGGAGAACAAGAGCTGGAGGCACAACCCTGAGCAAATAGCACTGCAGGCGAAGGAGTGGGCTGGGCACTGGGGGCACATGAAGGCGTGAGAAAATGAGACTGATTTGGCCGGAGCTAATTTGTCAGTCCCGAGCCAAGACTCCTTTCTTTTAGGGGCAGCGTTGCGCTTGCACGCTTGAAGGCACGACCCAGACTTGCTGATGTTTAGGGCATCCATGTGTCCCCAGTCTCAATTTCCTCCTGCTCTGTCTCCTGTAGAACAGCGGATGCCCTCCTCCCCGTGAGAGGGAACCTGCTGCTTTGCAGTCTGTCACTGAATGCTGTATAAAATGCAAAACCCCTTTAACCACAGTAATGTAAGTCATGCCAAACCCTGGAGAGTAAGCGCAGCATCCTAAATTTGAACTGGAATATCACAGTAGGACCAGTATTCCTTTCTGTTTTGGTGAGGTGCCTTAAGTCTTTGCTGGGAGATGATGGGCTGCTCTGTCATTTTGGGTATCGGTTCACTCCTGTTTGCCAGATCGGGTGCAGGTGCAAATGAAAACCTCTTGTAGAGGTTTTTCTAGCAGGCAGAAGTAAGCCTGCATAGAAGGGCGACCACTTCTCTAGACACTGAAGGAGTGATTTTTTTTAATGCTTAATGAAGCACCATTGGGTCTTGAGATCTATCCCATAAATAGCCCTTCATCTGCTTGGGCAATTTGGATGGACACAGGAGTGGTTTTGTGCGCCCACAAGGCTGAAAGATGATGATGCTCCCTCCAGGGTAGGGAAATCCATGTGCTAGCATGTGTGCAGAAAGCTGCTCCTTCTTCTGGGGGCCCATAGGAAAGATGGGGACAATCTTTTTAGTATGGACAGCTGTGACAGGACAAGGGGGGATGGTTTTAAACTGAAGCAGGGTAGGTTTAGACTGGATCTAAGGAAGAAATTCTTTACAGTGAGGGTGGTGAAACCCTGGCAGGGGTTGCCCAGAGAGGTGGTGGAGGCCCCATCCCTGGGAACATTCCAGGCCAGGTTGGACGGGGCTGTGAGCAACCTGATCTGGTTAGCGGTGTCCCTGCTCCCTGCAGGGGGGTTGGACTGGGTGACCTCTAGGGGTCCCTTCCAACCCAAAACATTCCATGATTCTATGATTTTGCATTTGTGGCCAGGTTTTAAGTACTTTCCCAGCCATCCAGGGGTGTTAGCTTTAAGGCAAGACCATAGATGATAAAATAGGGTTTTGTGCTGTAGATGAGCCCTGGACTTCCAATCCTTCACCCTGCTGTGTGTTTTGGTGCGAGGGGATGTAGTGATACCACCAAGCTCTGTACCATCATCCCATCAGTCAGTGCTAACGAGCCGGTCTTTCGTTTGTGTGTTTGAAACAGACACCCTTCACCCTCACCTTGCGGCTGTGGGATATCTACATCTTGGAAGGAGAGCGGGTGCTGACGGCCATGGCTTACACCATCCTCAAACTGCACAAAAGTAAGGTCCCAGCAGACTGCGTCTTGCGTGGCACAGCTGGCCACCCTTGTGCTGCCGACCTGGAAAGCCTGGCTGGCCACTACCAGCCTACTCTGTGCCCTGCTCTGGCCCCAGAAGGCACAGTCCTGTGCTGGTGCTCTGGGGAGGATATGAGATGCTGCAAGGGTTGACATCCTGCACTCAGCACACAGCAAACCCCACCTGAAATGCTCCCAGCTGCCTCTTTCCACATGCTGCGCCCCACATCTTTTATCAAGGCGCTTTTAGGGGCAATTCAGGCTCTGGAATGGTCTGCCCAGGGAGGTGGTTGAGTCCCCATCCCTGGAGGTATTTAAAAGAAGGGCAGATGAGGTGCTTAGGGAGAGGGTTTAGTGGTGGGATGGCAGGGTTAGGTTAAAGGGTGGACTTGATGATCTTAAAGGTCTTTTCCAACCAAAGCGATTCTATGATTCTATGAATACAGACAGCAACCCGTCTGTCTGCAAAGCTCTGTGGGGCAGTTCAGCTGAAAAGGCTGTGGAGGGAGAAATAAATCCATTGATACACTTCGAAAATGACCAAAACCTGGTTAACATGAAGGCAGTGATGTTTGTATCTTGGTATCTTTGGGAGGTTGAACCCCTCTGCTCCCATAAGCCAGCAGCCTTGCTTTGTCGCCCTGTTGTCAGGTCTTTAGTCTGAGACAGGACCAATGCTGATCTTGCATCCTGGGAACCTTTGGGCCAGTGGGATTTCTGGGACTGCGTGTGTGGCTTCTGCAAACAGCCACCCTGCTCTTCCTTCAGTTGAATGAAGAACAGGCTATCCGGAAATAAATCCTCAAGTATCTCATTTGTTTGCAAAGACTGGGAAACGGGCAGGCAGGAAAAGGTTTCAGCCTGGCTGTGAAATCATCTCTCCTCCCTGAGGAATGTGTGGTGCAGAGCAGCATCCCTGCCTGCATGTCATCCTTGCCTGCATCCTTGCCATGGGCCAGCATCCTTGCCATGGGCCAGCATCCCTGCCTGCATCCCATCCCTGCCTGCATCCCATCCCTGCCTGCATCCCATCCCTGCCTGCATCCCATCCCCGCCAC